CCCCAAAACCCCAAAACCCCAAAACCCCAAAACCCCTGAATTATTCATTTTTATTGAAAATATGCTGAGTTCAAGATTCATCAGATCTTTAACCCTTACAAGGTCTGTTTTTAGGCCTTCAACTAAGTTCTCTTTGCTCAAAACTTCTTCTGTCAGATTTTTCTGCACAAACAAACCTCCAAAGACAGATTATAAAGAGAGTCCTATTAAGGAATCACATGAGGATTCAAAATCTCCTAAAGAAGAAGATGAATACAAAGAAAAGGCCCAAGAGAATGAACCTCCTACTACAACCCCCCAACAAGGTACGCTCATCTTCTTCCTAACATACCTATACAGACCTAAGAATCCACCCTTACTGGTACTTCATCACCAGCATGGTAGTTATCTACCAATTCCTAAAAATGAACGATATCACTGTTGAGTTCGAAGACCTGATTAAGTATCTGAAAGAGCAGCCTTTTAAAGCAGTTGATATTGCTGTGAATCTTAAGAAAAATAGTGATTATAGTGTGTTTGTGACAGTGGAAGGAACAGATATTGATGGGAGAGTTCTGAGTGCGGAAAGTGAGGCTGAGAATAGGTTTAGGAAGATTTTGGCTATGTCTTCTGATTCTGGGCTGCTTAGGTAAGAGTTTCAGGGATATCTTTAGATTATGATACTTAGTGTTATTCACAAACTTCTGCGGTATTATCAGTAAGTGTATATTATTTAGCTCTAGGTCAGATTATGTATCATCAAAAGAGAGGTTTCAACTCTAAAGCCTATATAGGCCTTATTGCCTGAGGTGGATTTGTGGCTTTTTCTACAAGTCAAACAATAAGCACTCTTAACTTCCTTAAAGAGTTTGGTAACTTGAAGGAAGACCGTCCACAAGGATATGTCAAATTTGTAAAATCAAGTGAATTCCATAATCAAGTCGGAAACTACACAAGAGTTGAGAGGAACTAAAATCTAATTCTGAGGTTAGCAATAAATATTCCCAATTTTTTTTAAAAAATGGGGTTTTGGGGTTTTGGGGTTTTGGGGTTTTGGGG